TATATATATAAACATTATTAAATCATTATTAATTTTGATCTTTTGACTATTCCATCCACATTTGCATTTAGTCTAAATGTAGGATGTATTTTCTTGCCCCTGAAATACATTTTAAAATATATTTTGGTAAATGAGGGTTTTCTATTTCAAAAATATATTTCATTGAGTGTCACTGCTAACAACATATATTTAAAATATATTTTGGTCACAAAATTACATTTTTTGCTATGTAGGTTATGCTGCTTCTAAGCAATTAGAATAAATGCATTGAAAATATAATTATGTAAATAAAATCTAAATGCCAATAGTTAATAAAATAACAAATAGACTGGGAAATACAGTATGCATCACATTAAGTTTAATCCAAATGGATATTTTATATGCAATTGAAATGCATAAATATAAAATTTAGGCCTGATTTTTTTTGAGCGAATGACAAATAATGAGTTATTATTGTTGTTATTGTGATCGTCAGACACGTGTTACATCCTGTCGTTTGCCATCATCATGTTGAACACGAGTCTGCACAATCCCAACGTGAAGGACAAGACCTCTCTCGAGAGATTCATCAGCATGAACCGCGGCATTAACAACGGACAAGATCTGCCCGACGAGCTTCTGACGGTGAGCAGCCACTATTTTATACTTTATACAGTGGCATATAATAAATAAATACAAGGTAATGTTATGTTCAAGCTGATATTAAGTGATGTTCATTTTAGACACAATATTATCAGTATGGCTTGTTTTGCTCTGTTTCACCAACACGATCAACACGGTGGTGTTTCGTTCCTGAATGATTCACTGTTTCTGAACAAATCAAGTGAATCAATGATTCAAAAACCCATTCATAAAGACAGTTGCTATATTCAAAACTGCATTCTAGAATACTACTTTTACTTTTTATCGTAAGAGTAGTATACTTGTACACAGTTCTGAAATCAGCAAGTCACTGCATTCCTAAATGAATCAGCCATTTTGAATGAATCAGTTGAATGAGTGAATCAGTGACTGAGTGATTTGTCGCCACCTGGTTTAAGTTTCATAGTTAAGGTGTCATTTCAGAGTTCTAATTTAAGTATATTTTATATTTAACACATTAATCTTCGAACATTATTTATGCAGTTAGTGTAAATGCATTCATTACATATCCGAGCTGCATTAAACATATCTAAATCTCAATAAATGCAGTTTTTCTGCCACTTCTGCAGTGCAAAGATGGATTTTTGGATTCATTCGATTGGTAACAGCCCCATTGTGTCTTACTATTCTAATTGCATTTATTGAATGAATACATGAATTTCCATGAAAGATGATGTGCACATTTAATAATGTTAGATAGTTTGCCCTTATTAAGGTTCAGAAATGCCCCTGGAAATCACTTTAAGGGGAAAATACCGTCCTTTAATGGAAATGGTTTGTTGTAACTGGATTAGACTTATTCTTCAGTTTTTATCCTTCTCGAAGCTTGCGAAGTGTCTTGATTGTTGGTGTTATAGAAATGGCCACACTAGATGCTGTGAGGAACAAAACACAAAACTGAAGCCTCGTGAGGATGTTATAATTTCATCAGTGGTGGTGTATATTTATATAAATAAGCAGCACTAACAGGAAGGTCGTGGTATTGATGTGTTTTGGTGAAAATGTGTGTTTCTTTGCATCAACAGAATCTGTACAACAGCATACGCAACGAACCCTTTAAAATCCCAGAGGATGATGGGAACGATCTGACGCACACCTTCTTCAACCCGGACCGAGAGGGCTGGCTGCTCAAACTGGGTAAACCCAGCTCAGAAGAGACCAGATGCATTAGATATTACAAAGATTCAACTGCTTTTGATCTGCACTGCTTATAACATGAACAGTCAAGTCTATAAAATCTGACTCATGTTAGCATCATAGTCATCATAGCTCATGCTCTTCAGTTTTGTGGTGAAAAAAGCATTAATTGTGGTGAGTTTTGGCAATGTTCACTCAAAAACTGAGGTGCATAAGCTCAGGTCAATGAGGCCTATGATCAACAACTTCTAGAAACATCTGTAATTATGGCATAATAAGCCAAAATGACTTTAAAAGTTGGAATTGACACACTAAAGGTGCGTCCCAAATCATGTAGTTATAAATAGTGCAAAGAATGTGTTCGCACTGAAAATTCCAAAAAGAAAAGTGCACTTGAAATACCAGGATGATGCACTCAAATAACCGAAAAAGCGAAGTGTGTAATGTTGGACACTTCATGCACTCGACTGTCGCAGCTTTAATTACGTAACGAAGGGGGAGGGGCTACCAGACTCTGATTATGAATGATTATGAACAACCTTATATAATTCATACACTACATGGTTGATTACATAGTGTATAAGTGCATAGTGTATAGTGCGTCATTTGTGACGCAGTTTAAGTCATTATGAGATAGTCTAATTTTTATGAGATCAAACGAAGTCAAAATTATGACTTTAAAAGTTGAAATTGACATACTACGTCATAATTATGAGTTTTAAAAATCTAAATTGACAGTCATAATTATAACAAAGTTATGACAAAAATTCATAATTATGAGATAAAGTTGAAAATTACTGCATACAGTTATATTTATGAAGAAAAATTTAAAAAATCTAAATTATGATAGAATTAAGCTTTTTTGCCTTTTATCTCATAATTTCGATAGTGTCATCATTTTGCACTCGACTGTCGCAGCTTTAATTACGTAACGAAGGGGGAGGGGCTACCAGACTCTGATTATGAATGATTATGAACAACCTTATATAATTCATACACTACATGGTTGATTACATAGTGTATAAGTGCATAGTGTATAGTGCGTCATTTGTGAGGCAGTTTAAGTCATTATGAGTCATCATTATTATTTTATGAGATCAAACGAAGTCAAAATTATGACTTTAAAAGTTGAAATTGACATACTACGTCATAATTATGAGTTTTAAAAATCTAAATTGACAGTCATAATTATAACAAAGTTATGACAAAAATTCATAATTATGAGATAAAGTTGAAAATTACTGCATACAGTTATATTTATGAAGAAAAATTTAAAAAATCTAAATTATGATAGAATTAAGCTTTTTTGCCTTTTATCTCATAATTTCGATAGTGTCATCATTTTGCGACTTTTAAAGTCATTTTGAGTTTATCTCATACTTGTGACCTTTTGTCATGTTTTTGACTTTTTATCTCATAATTAGGACTTAGTATGTCATAATTTTACTTAGTATCTCATAATTATGACATTTAACGTCACATTTTGTTAGCATAATTAAGACATTTAAATAATTTTGAGTTTTCATGGTTCATGGTCTTTGTGTCGAATAGAAGCTCAGACTGTAAGAATACGATCATCTGACAGTGTTATGTATTATCTGTCGGCAGGCGGCCGTGTGAAGACGTGGAAGAGACGCTGGTTCATTCTGACTGATAACTGTCTGTATTATTTTGAATTTACCACGGTGAGAACAGCAGCCGTCTCTCTGAATGCATGCATGTGTGTAGATCAGGAGTGATTGTGTGTTTGTGTTCAGGACAAAGAGCCTCGCGGCATCATTCCTCTGGAGAATCTGTGCGTGAGGGAAGTCATGTTTCCACGCAAACCGGTGAGACTGTGCTACTAACCTAAACCTAGTCAACGGCAATGAGTAACTGCTTTAAACAGTGGACACAAACATTACACTGCAGTTTGGCCAGCTGCCAAAGGAGAAGGACAATAATCAAATATTAGTACCACTTCACAATAAATTCCCCTTAGTTAATGTTAGCTAACGCATTAACGAACAGTGATATACATTTGCATTGCATTTATTAATCGTTGTTAACCTTAGTTAATAGAAATTGTTAGCAATGGACCACTGTTAGCTCATGTCAGTTCAGGTCCATTAAATAATATTACCAGATGCAACTTCTGATTTTAATAATGTTTCAAATGTTGAGATTCTCATGAGGAAATGTTGATTGAGAAACTCAGATTTAGAAGTAGAAGAGCCGGTGTGTGTTTAGGGAGTGGTATCATTAGCACTGGTTAACCTGTGACCTTTGACCTGTGTGCAGTATTGTTTGGAGCTGTATAACCCCAACAGCCGGGGTCAGAAGATCAAGGCGTGTAAGACGGAGACGGATGGACGTGTGGTGGAAGGGAAGCATCAGTCGTACACCATCTGCGCCGCTTCAGCCGAGGAGAGAGACGACTGGATCGAGTCCATCAGGTAGGAATGCACTGAACACGTCTGAACACACGTGACTCGTCTGACATGCGTGTGTCGTGTCTCCACAGGGCCAGCATCACTAAAGACCCCTTCTATGATCTGGTGTCCATCCGCAAGAAGAAAGTCATCAACAAAGTGCCAGAGAAATTATGAAAAGACCGAAACGACCGAAACTACGACTACAAACAGACAGAACCGCTTGTTTATTAAAGCTCACTCAGAGCTCAGGAGATCAGCTCGGTCTCACATGTTTCTCCCGAGACATACAGATCCAAAAGAGTCAATAGTTCGGAGTATAAATCTGTGAACTGAATGTGGAGCAGCTCGGCTCATTTGAAGAGAATTGACTGAGATCATATTTGAGTCAATAAACTCGATAATGTCTCAAATATGACTGAGATCATATTTGAGACATTATCGAGTTTATTGACTTTTTTGAGACACGTGTGAGATTACTGGTGTCTTTTGGGGCAATGAATGTTTATTTAACCTCACTGTCCTCCGGGAGAAACAGCTGAGATCATCAAGAGACACTGAGATTTAACGTGGAAACCTACAGAGACGTCTGATGATGCTCCAGTGCCGCGCCGGATCGATTCCCCTTTAGGACATACACATTTACTTTGACTTTTTGTAGCAAATGTTTTTCATGTAAAAACATTTGCTAAAATATTTTTGTAAATGACCCGCTTCTCTTGTGTATTTATTTGCTCTCTGAAACAGACAGAATTGCTAAATTAGTTCTTGACCAATTATTGTTCAAAAGTTTGGGGTCAGTAAGATTTTTTTTTTGGAGAGAAATGACTAGTTTTTCATCAAGGACACATTATATTGATCAAAAGTGTCAGTAAAGACTTACAAAAGTTTTCTATTTCAAATAAATGCGGTTCTTTTGAACTTTCTATTCATCTGTGAATCCTGAAAAATAAAATGTATCACAGTTTCCACAGAAATATTCAGCAGCACAACTGTTTTCAGCATTGATAATAATCAGAAATGTTTCTCGAGCAGCAGATCAGCATATTATACTGATTTCTGAAGATCATGTGACACTGAAGACTGGAGGAATGATGCTGAAAATACAGCTGCGCATCACAGAAATACATTACACTTTAACAGAGATTCATATAGAAAACAGCTGTATTAAATGATAATAATATTTCACTATTTTTACTGTATTTTGGATCAAATAAATGCAGCCGTGGTGAGCAGAAGAGACTTCTTTCAAAAACTTTAAAAATATGATACCGACCCCAGCAGTAGTGTGTGTGATCTTATTTTAACCTTCTAAAACATGATCTCAAACAGATTTAGGGGAAGTGCATGTAGAAGATAAATCTGTCAGTAAAGAGGATTGCAGAATCAAACGTGAATATAATCTTCTAGCGTCTGTAGGAAGGATGAAAGCTCTGCGCTCTGGTCTTTATTCACGCAACAGCAACATTTAAAAAGGGAAACGTGAAATGATCTCATCATTGCTTTCACTTCCTCCATCAGAACATGAGCATGTGACATCTGCCGGTTGCTTCATGAAGGTCCAGGGCAGTTTAATCGTTCATTTGTAGTGTTTATGATGCTAAAAACCTCAGATTTAACCAGTTACACAAGCAGTTTCTTCAGCATGAGTCCATGAGGAGCATCTGAGGAAACGTGTTCATCTGAGCCGTGGAGGCTGAATGGATGCTCTCTGATGGACAGATGTATTTTCTTGTTCATATTTCCATCGGTGAATGTAGTAGTGTTGTAGTACAAGGGGGTAATTTTATATATAAAACATTCATCTCATAACATTAAACATTAAGTTGTAATTGTACCAACTCTGATGCAACTTCTGTTCCACCTCTGCAGTGCAAAGATGAATGTATTGTTTCATTAGTGATTTCGTTTGATTGGTAACAGCTCTATACAGTGTCCTGGTCTGGACTCGGTCTCTGTTTAAGTGTTCTTCTTGACTGCAAGAGTGTAGCTCATTACATTCACACTCATCTGTGGTCACTTCCTGTTCAGAGCTGTTGCAGTAAATCCATGGATCCTTTTTATGGTCAGAGCTGCTTCACACACACTCACACACACACACACACACACACACACACACACACACACAGAGAATTTAAGCTTAAATTGTTATAATGTTCGTCTATTATTTTGGTCTTTCATTGTTATTATGTTTCTTCACATATTTTCCAAGCTTTGGCACTATTGTATTTTTTAGTCATGCCAATAAAGCAAATTTTTAAAGTTTTTTTTATTTGAGAGAGAGAGAGAGAGAGAGAGAGAGAGAGAGAGAGAGAGAGAGAGAGAGAGAGAGAGATCCGGCTAAACAAGGTCAAACACCGAATAAAAGCAGAAGTGCATTTCTGGCTGTGTCTCAAATGACGCACTTCTTACTTCTTACAGCATGCTTTCTCGCGAGTCCGCTGCAGGAGCTCAGTGAAGAGTGTGTGTGTGTGTGTGTGTGTGTGTGATGCTCAGAGCCACCAGCAGAGGGCGAACGCCACTCATGAGTCTCTGATCACACAAAATATTTGTTGTCAGGCTACTTTCAGTAAAATATAACCGCATCTGTGTCTGTGACAGCTCTAGAGACAAAACGTTTTTTTTTTTTTTTTTTTC